TATTACATGTCATGTCATGTTATGCATATTCCAATATGGTATCTCTCACTCATGCTAGGAACAGTACCCCACCCCCACTGTTGCCCCCACAAAGAATTGGTATTTTCCCCTCCCTTCTTTGTCTACAACAATTATAGCACTGTTTCTTCCTTCATATGTTGTTTTACAAGGAAGATTAGGTCCAAATTGGTGGCTCAAATATAGTGATTTTATAACGCGGATAATTATGATAATGATATCTTGCTCTCTTATTTATATTTTGCCCAGTCTTCATTGTTATTTTTAAACTTGAATTTTTATTCAACCATCTGTTTATTAAAATAGCTCCCTTTAAGCCATAGTCAGGTCTTTTGTAGAACAAAACAAGTGAATGAATAAATAAAAAAAGCCTATTTTCATAGCTTGATAAATTGCTCGATAAGATGGATTAAGGACCTAACAGGTATTATTTGAGAGCAGCCATTGCTTCTGGTTGTTTCCTCAAGTTTTATAAGTCCCAAATAATTCAAGTGATAAAATATATATTTTTGAGAGTCAATATTGTGGATTACCTCTGTGAGGTAATAAACATCTTTAAGAATGGCCAAGTCTAGTATGCCATTCAATAACTGTTGACTGGCTAGCTAAATATTCTGAATTAATAACTTTCAATGTATGTATCCGGTGAAGCAGTCCTTCACAGGTATCTTATAGCATATAGACAAAACAGAAAGGTGGAAGGGCACCTGGGTGACTCAGTCGGTTAAGTGACTGGCTCTTGACTTTGGCTCAGGTCATGATCTCAGAGTCCTGAGATCTCTGCACTCAGTGAGGATTCTGCTTGAGATTCTCTCTCTCCCTCTTCCCCTGCCCTTACCCCCACTGTGTGCGCACACATGCTCTCTCTCTCTTTCTCAAATAAATAAATATAAAAACACCCCCAGGCTCCCCCAAAGCCCCAGAAAGGTGGATAATAACTTAGAAAATGGTAAACAAGGGGGAGGAGTCATATTTCAGTCTAATCATTCAGAGGAAATTCACTTTAATAGCAAATTCATTTCTTCCAGAGAAAGAAATATGCTAAGATGTGGCAGAGGTAATTATGTGAATAACACTAGGCAGTATGGGTTCTTTGAATGCCTTTACCAGATTGTAAAATTCCCTGTGAATGGTTCTTAAGATCAGATATGATACATTCAAACAGATTTTATTTATTTTTTAGAGAGCGGGAGAGAGAGAGTGTGCGGGGAGGGGCAGAAGGAGACGGGGAAAGAGAATCTTAAACAGGCTCTCCACCCAGTGCGGAGCCTGATGGGGGTCTCAATCTCACCACCCTGACATCATGACCTGAGCTGAAATCAAGAGTCAGACCCTTAACTGACTGAGCCACCCAGGCATCCCCAGATATGATGCATTCACATTCTGAACTATGTTTTAAACTACTTGTATGGTTCTAACTTATACAGCAGTTTAACTTTACTAATCCCACAGATATTTATTGATTCCCTACTGTGTTCCAGATTTGGGCTTGAGATACCTGGGGGAACAAAATGGACAAATATCCTATTCTTACTGATAGGCTGAACAGTGCCCACCAGAGATGTCTACATCTGAATCCCCGGAAACTGTGAATATGTTACTTTATGTGGCTAAAGGGACTTCGCTGGTATAATTAAGAATCTTGGGATGAGAGATTATCCAGGATTATCTCAGTGAGCCTGAATTGGAATTACAAATGTCTTCACGAGAAGGAGGCATGAGGGATTTCCTTCATAAGAGGAAAAGGCAATGTGATTATGTAAACAAAGACTGGGGTAATGTGATTTGAAGATGTAGGAAGGGCCACAAGCCAAGAAGAGTGGGTGAATGCTAGAAGTTGAAAAAGGGAAGGAAACAGATTCTCCCCTCAGGGCCTTCTGCTGACACCTTGACTTTGACCCAGTGAAACTGATTTTGGGCTTCTGACTTCCAGAACTCTAAGAGAACAGTTTTTTTTTTTAAAGGTTTTATTTATTTATTTGACCGAGAGAGAGAGAGACACAGTGAGAGAGGGAACACAAGCAGGGGGAGTGGAGAGGGAGAAGCAGGCTTCCCGCTGAGCAGGGAGCCTGATGCAGGGCTCGATCCCAGGACCCTGGGATCATGACCTGAGCTGAAGGCAGACGCTTAACGAGTGAGCCACCCAGGTGCCCTAAGAGAACAAATTTATGTTGTTTTAGCCACCAAGTCTGTCGTAATTTCTTATAGCAGCCATGGGAAACTAATGCATTCGTGGAAGTTTCATTCTAGAGGAGGAGATGGTAAATAATAATGACAGTAAACAAATCATATAGTATGTTAGAAGGTAATAAGTAATATGGAAAGGAGGGATGGTGGGGCAAGGTAAGAGGGATGGAGAGAGCCTGATCCATGCAGGGGTGCTGGTGAGCCATGGGGCGAGATTTACAGTATAAGAGGAGTCGGCAGAACAGACCTCATTGAGAAGGTGAAATGTGAGAAAAGACATGAGCTGGTAAAGGAGTTAGCTAAGTGGACATGTGTGAGAAATATTCCAGGTAGAGAGAGCAACAGTACAAGTACCCTAAGACAGGAGTCTGCCTGGTGTGTTTAAGGAAACAGGTGGGGTGATGAAAGTGGGAGGAAGAGGAGCAGGGAGAGCAGAGATGCATAGGTGCGGGCTGATGAGCTGAGCTCTGGTCGCCCCTGTAGAGCATAATGTTAGGAAGAGGAAGCCGTTCTACAGATTTATTAGAATTCTTTTCTAGAAGATAACACATAGCTGGTCAATTCAGTGAAATCGTTTTTGATTGAAAAGCAATTATTGATAGGATAAGCTAGACGAAGACCACAGACACAGGCATCTCCTCCATTAGTCTCAAAACACCGAACTGGATCGGAAGAATGAAATCAATCAACTGATTATGTGTGCGAGACAGAAGTTTTCCATTGCTTTTGAGTGTAAATATACAAGGACTCTCCTTGAAGCCAACTGCGTTTTAGCTGGTGTCACTGTCTGCTTTTTAGAAATTTTTGATTATTCTAAGGTCCAACTTTCATAATTTTGATGAAATATTTCTTAGTAAAAGAAATGGTTTTGGAATGACAGCATCCACTTTTGGTACAATCTGTATCTGGATTCAATATATTTGAAACCGTGGCAGATTCTATGTGTGAAGCAGGGGTGTCAAAGACTAGTGGCTAACGTTTAGTTGCATGGGTCAGTTGCATGGCAGAACGCCTGGACTGATTGCTTTGAGCAGATATCTTGGCAAGTTGAAGGCACCATGACATGATGATTGCCAGCCTAGTCCTGGCCCAGTGGTTCATTTACTATTCCAGGCACCTTTGGCCTTTCAGTGGCAGCAAGGTTCACCCAATGTGTTTTCCATTCCACACCCTGATGTGGTTAAATTCTAAAATCACCTTCAGATGTGGTGTGGTTATGAGCTCAATTTCTTTTCCTTCTTCACATATTATATTTGGATTATGTCTACCATGCCAGTTCTATCAAAGGCCTCTTGCCCACTTAAATCTTGGCTATATAACTTCATGGCAAACGCACTCCTGAAACAATCTAGAATCATTGCATCAGAATTTTGTTCAAGCTAAACAAATAAGTATTTATAGAAAAAAATGAATAAACCAATGTTTGAATTAGCAGGGAGTGTCTGTCCTTGCTTTCCCTGGCTACTTTTAACTTCTAAGTTTTTGCAGATTCCTGGGCCTGTTCTGATATTAGATGGAGTTGCATCATCAGACTCAGACCATCAGCCAAGGGGAACTGGAGCAGATCCTGCTCATGGGGTACCTGGGATGAGTCCCAGGCACTCGTATGCCCAGTGAGGTGAATCTTCCACTAATCCCACTACATTTAATCTTTATAAACAGGCTTCTCTCTTGGTTTCTTATTTTATGCTCTAGTTCCTTGTGTGATTGGTTCTCTGTGTAGAATGCTACTCCAACTGGCTGTTGACCAGACCACCTGCAGGTATATGGAGGGCCAGTTTCATTTAATGGGCCAAAGTATGATCAGGGGTTTGTATCCAGGTTCTCCAGAGAAACAGAGCTATTAGGATATATATAGGAACACCTGAATAGAACAAAAACACAGCCTTCTCCAAGGATATGATGTATATAATGTATGTATAATGTATGTATATATGTAATCCCTTTCTCTGTATGTATCTCTCTCTTTATATATATTTATGTACACACACACACACACACCTTAATGGTTTTTCTGAAGAACTTTGACCAATACAGAATCCTAAAGACCATTCTAACCTAGCATTTTCTCCTTTTTTTCTTTCCTTTACCTGTTGCTCTCCAGAGTGTAGATGGGGCATCCGAAGCTTAGAGGGATCCAGTGACTTGTCTGAGATGATCAGCTGATTGGTGACTGAGCTGGCATGTTGAACTACTGTTGGAGTGGGGAGAGGGGTGGCCTCAGTGATGACTAAGACATTGACCCTCTGGATACTTGGGATTGTTTGAAGGAATAGAGATGCCAGGAGACTGTATGTATTTTGAGACAAAGTTTTACCCTCATTCAGTTGTGTTTAAACTGCCAGCTCTGGCAGAGACATGCAGAAGTGTTCAGTGTGCAGAAGAGGTGCTCTGGAAAGGGAGACATTTCTGTCCAATGATTATCCTATTAAGGATAAAGACTCAATTATGTGAAAGAACAAACTTCCAACATGTGTGAAAACAGCAAAGTTTCTATTTGTCAAGGACACAGTGTTCTGACAGCAGTTTTGTTCCTTCTGCTTAGTGAGGACTGGCTCTGACTGACACTCACGAGTGAGCTCCTCTTACAGTCAGACAAGTCAAACTCTGAAAGCCAGCACTTTTTTGAACTTTAAAAAAGAAATTCATGACCATGCAGGGATTTCAATTTGATATTTAAAAATTTTACAATAGATGAAACAATGTCAACCATGTGAGAGTACGTTATAATGGGCTCTTAGAAAACGAGACGTGAATCTTCAGCTCTGCCCGGACATGGAACATACTGGGGAAAATATGGGTAATTAGTTGCATGATTCAGCTGAGAATGACTTTTCCTCTTCATTTCTTTTTCTGCCTTGTGTGTTGGATAATTCGAGAGTATTTTTTAATTTACTCAGCCTATAATTTTTGTCCTCTTCATATTGTCTAGAGACAAGGGAAAAACACAAATGTATATATAATTATTCAATACACTTCAATGGACACCACCAAAGGAATTGTGCTAAGTTTTATGGAAGATACAAGAATACAGAGAACCCAGCCTCTTTTGTCAGTTTAGCAGGTAGAAAGATCTTAGTTCCATAAGGGAGAAATTGTTATAGGAATTTATTCACTCACTTACCAAATATTTACTCTTTGCATTAGGCACTATGACAGGGGCTGTATAGACGATTAAGATCCAGTGTTCAGTGTGGAAGCTGAGAAAGAAATGCCAAAAACAGGGAAAAAGTACGAGAATATAAAGCTTTTTCATTTCTTTTGTGTCTCTCTCAACTTCTCATGGTGGTGTTTATTTGCTAATTGATGTTCTAAGTAAATAAAACTCAAAATGTTAAATTATTAGCATGAATTTTATTGTTCATCTCTATATTGTGCAATGCCAACTCAAAAACAAATATCAGAACATTTCTTTTGTGTGGAGTCACCAAAATTACACAATTTGTATTTTGTGGCTTGTCCTTGGAAGGTGCCTCTAGCTGATCAGAGATAAACTTAAGACAGAATGAAGAAGGTAGGAAGGAAGAAGAGAAGATTCCTCAGGCATGGAGCTAACTGTGGGGGCGCTCAGGGCACAAGGATACTCATGGGGCTGGACAGACCATCACAGGCACTCAAGGGTCCTGCTCCATGATTTGGGGTGTGTGTGCATTTGCTTGGGCCTCATGGCTACTACTGAGTTCCTCTTCCCATCAGCCAAAAAACCTATAAGCAGCATCCCAGCAGGGGGCTGAGGCCATGGGAGTCAAGCCAGGGGTCCCTTATTTCCATAGGCCTACGACCCCAACCCCTGGTAGATGGACAGCCCCTAAAGATCTTAAACCTCTGTGCCAGGATATGGTTCAGTGCCTGGATGAGGTACAGAGGCTTGCCCCTATCCTGGCCAAGACAGATCTCACCTGGAATGGGAATGGCAGCAGCTAGGCCTAAGATGCCACAGGGTGTGTGCCTGACCCCAACCCTACCGAAGCTCATGGCAAGGCCCCTTTGTAGGTGAAGAGTGACAGCAGTTACAGATAGTGATAGAGTGGGGGAGGCTGGCTGGGGTGTGGGACAGGGGACTAGGTCATGGTGGACTGGTTCTAGGGAGGCCCATCCCAGGAAGATGTGATTGTGCAGGAGCCAGAGGTTCTAAGCCCCTTGTGCATGCTCCTTTGTACCATTGAACTTCACTTAAAAACACAAATTCAAACAAAAATGATTCAGAATTTCAAGGTGGCACTGGCTACATACCCAAGAAGCTAGTCCCTACTCTGGAGTTCGGCTTTTTGATACTGTTTCCACAGCTATGATGGCTCCATCTTTTATGGAAAGCGGTTCCCTCTTTGTGCTGACTTAGAGGAATAGCAAGCTATCAATATTCTCCCCTTCAAGCTCTCTTTACTTAAATTGCAGTTCAAGAGATGAGTTTTCAATTTTTTAAGGTATGATTTTCTTTATTTTTCCAAGGATGGTCTCATCATCCTTCATGGTAGTTGTAGCTTTGGATTTGGATACTGGTGTTTTGAAGCTTCATTAAAGTGAGGTTTCATGTAAAAGTGGTGGGCAAGTATTGAATGCAGTCAAGAAATCAAGATGACCCTGATAACCACTTGACCACAAAAGGAAGTTTCATGACAACTGCCAATACGTGGACAACCCTGTGTGTCCAACTGCAGTGTGCAGGGGGGTTATGGCTGCTGTTTATCATTTTCAGTGAGGCAGTATGGCCATCGATTAAGGTCAAGGGAGGCACTGAACAGATCTGACACTGAGTTTCTCCTCTACCGTTACATGATTTCACCCCTTAATTTTTCTGTGCCTCTGTTGCCTCATGTGCAAAATGAAGATCGCATAGAGTTCTTGTGAAAATTAGTTGAATCTACAAGTAAAGCATTTAGCATGGTACTTGAGACATAGTCAGTTCTCAATAGATGTAAATTCTATATCTTTTCATATACAAGCATGAACAAAAAACGTGAACAACACCGTGCTCCTTTTTGGTGCTTTGTGCTGGGGTCCCCATTGCCTTCAGGCGTTTCCATGATGCTGCATCTGGTCCACTCCCTTCCATGCAACAAACTCTTGCTTGTTACCTTTACTCTTGTCATACACTATATGTCTTGTGTCTCCCCTGCTCAGGTCCATTTTTTTTTTTTTTTAAAGATTTATTTATTTGAGAGAGAGGGGGGAGAGACAGTCCCAAGCAGACTGCACTGAGCACAGAGCCTGGCAGGGGCTTGATCTCAATACTCAGATCATGACCTGAGCCGAAACCAAGAGTTGGATGCTTTACTGACTGCACCACCCAGTAGCCACGTACTCAGGGGCATTAAAAAAAAAAGTTTACTAGGTAGATTAAATTTGTTTCTTAGTTGGATCCTAGATACCTATATCAAATATTGAAGTCAGATAAGTCAGGAGGAAAAGTTCCAAAGAGCAAATAGGAGCCTGGAAAATGATGAAGGTGAAATGGAAAGAAAAGTTAAAAAAAAAAAAAGAAAAAGAAAAAGAGAAGAGGTGTTAACAAGAACTAGCATGCCACTCTAGATTTTAAGTTTCTTGAGGGCAGAAACTGGAGCTACCTTAAATGTCCTTAGCACAAATGCCTTGCTCACTTTAAGATCCACCTAATTCTTAGAATAAATAGCAAATAGTGATAAGCACCCAGGGCTCTGAGGGGAGGAGCCGGGAGGAGAGTCCAGGCTGAAGGGACGTGTGGGAACAGACAGGAAGTTTAAGAGGGTCTGCACTGCCCCCTCTCCCTGAATGAAGCAGAGGGAATTGGGCACTTCAGGGTTTGGATTGTATCTCACTTTCAGCATAGCTGTGTGATCTTGGGCAAATAATTTATGCTCTCTGGGCTTTGGTTTCTCCATCTCTTCTCTGAATAATAAAGGTAAAAATAACTACCTGCTGGTGTTAATGTGTACATGAGAAGAGCCTGTCAGTGCTGGGTGGGAAATAAAATATTATTGTTTTATTTTGCCTCCTTCCAATCATTCCCTCCTTTTTACCTCACAGACTTTCTATTCTGACATATGAAGAACTCTTGTTAACATAAAGAGTTAACACAAACATTAGTGCTAAAAATGTGCCACCGTTGGGTCTTGGATATTGTGAAAGAATGTAGATGGATTATTGAAAAACTTTTTGCACTGAAAGAAAAGCAATACAGGCATCTGTCCTTCGGGTGGTAGGATTAGTGGAAACAAACCTTGTACATAAAGGACAGCACTTTATGTTTTATTAAACCTAGAGGCAATATGAAGAGTTGGTAAGAGTATGGGTTTTGTGGTCAGATAGCCTTGGTTTTGTCACATGCGCTTGCCATTCTAATCAGGCAAGTTATTTTTTTATGCTGAACCCTGAAGCCTGAATAGGAGACAGGCAACGCATGAGGGGTTGAAGGAAGATTCTTAAATATAGGGGGGAACGAAGGCCAAGAGACAGGGTTCGGGACCTGAGAATGTCAGTGGTGCTGAGGCATTGAGTTCTAGGGCTGAAGAATGAGAGTTAAGCATTGGGGAGAAGTAGCTGAATAGATTAGGAAGGGCCTTGAAAACCATGTTAAAGCATTCAGAGATCTTAAGAGTGACAATAGCACTTCCCAAACAGTACTTCCCACTGGGACCAGAGTCCAGAGGAACTGCTGAGCATTGTCCCTTCCAGAAGATTCACAATGCACATTAGTATCTGTTAATGTTCTTCAATAAACAATTCCATTTCACATTTGTTTAATAGCTTTCCCAAACCTAATTAATGTTTTTAAGAAATTAACCTCTTACGAACTGAGGCCCCAGAGAACCTGCTTGAGGGGAAATGATGATAAATGGAAAGCCATTTCAAGGTTGTAAGTTGGGGCCCAACATAACCATATTTGCAGTTTATAAATGTATGGTAATACCTACCACATATGGAGCACCAGCTACTCTTCAAAGCACTTACCTAATTTAACTTAATTTAATTCTTATAATAAGTCCATGAGGTAGGTATTGTTATTTTTTACATTGTTAAGATGAGAAAATCAAGGCATAAAAGAATTAGGTAATTTCCTAAGGTTATGGAGCTAGTTATAAACAGAGGGCCTTGAACATGAACTTGGCCAGTCTGGTCTTGGAACCCCTACTCAACAGATGAATCTGACTGCACAGGGTAATGGATTAGAGTCAAACAAGCCTGGAGACAATTAGGAGGAGGTTGCTGCCATAATGCAGATGAGAAATGATGGCTACTTGGACTTCCTACATTTGCTTAGAAGATTAAGTATTATAACATAATTAAAGTATCTACACTAGTTTTTACTATATGGTAGGCAGTCAACAAATAATAGTTTTCCCATGAATATATGGAAACTTGATATATGACAGATATAAATTCCAGAATAGTGATGAAGGGGGGCATACAAGTTTGCCCAGGTTGCCACAACAAAATACCACAAACTGGGTGGATTAAATACAAAAATTTATTGTCTTACAGTTCTGGAGGCTAGAAGTCTAAAATCAAGGTGTTAGCAAGGTTGGTTCTTTCTGAGGGTTGTGAGGAAAGATTCTGTTCTCTTTCCTTGGCTTGTAGTTGACCACCTTCATGTTCACCTTGTGTTCTCCCTGTATGTGTGTCTATCTCCAAATTTCCTTTTTTTATTAGGACATCAGTCATATTGGATTAGGGCCCACCCCAATATCCTCATTTTAACTTTACTACCTCTGACCTTATCTCCAAAGAAGGTCACATTCTGAAGTACTGGGGTTTAGGACTTCACAATTCAATCCATAATAGAGGGATTATTTAGTAATAACATCATGAAAACCAGGTATCTATATGGAGAAACCCCCTGGATTCCTACGTCACATAATACTCAAAAATCATTATCTGAAAGATCGAAGACTTAAATATGAAAGGCAAGAATGTTAAAATGTTTAGAAAATATATAGTAGAGTATCTTTATAATCTGGAAAAGCTTTTAAAATGTGATACAAGGGGTGAATTGCTGGGAAGATGGCAGAATTGGAGGACCCTAAGCTCACCTTGTCCCATGGATACAACTAGATAACACCCATATCACTGTAAATAACCCAGAAAACAACATGAAGACTGGCAGAACAAACCTTACAACTAAATGTGGAGAAAAGGCCACATCAGAGATGGTAGGAAGGGGAAGGTGAGGTGGGAAGGGACTTGTGGGCACAGAGAGGGGAGAGAAAGAGACTATCATACTGGG